CTTCATGGGGTTGGAAATCCCCATCTGCCAGAGAAAAAGGATCAGCTGAAATGCCTTTCAAATCACAAAACCAACTCTAGATTTGGGGGTCGGGAATGGACATTGAAATCCTACACCCCATCCCTGGGAAGCGAATACCATTTCTAACAAAACAAACGCCTTTAAGTGGGAAGGTGTGGTTTGAGATAGAAGCCATACTAAGTGGGTCAGGAATTGGCAAGCTCAAAGAACAGAGTTGAGGAAACTGACCTTCATCTTCCATGAGCTGAGCAGGGGGAGGTGGACTAGAAGCAGTAGAGCCAGCATGGGAGCCACTGGTCTTGCTGGGAACTGGAAGAGTCTCATTGAGGCTTTGAGTTAGCAAGTCGGAATATTTCTCTGTCTGGCCCACTATAAAATCCAGCTGCAGATCCAGTGCTTTTTTCCGTTTTTCCTCCAGACGTGACTGCTGCTTGAATTGCACAACCTGAAGTTTATTTATTTATTAAGTTTATATGCTTCCCATCTCACAGTTTGAGATGACTTTGAGTGGCTTAAGTTAAGAAATACCAAATTGCATCTTCAGCAGAATATTATTCTGCTGGAATTCAGTCTTGAATTAAATTAATTCAAGTCCTACAACACACTTTCAATAGCATTACACATAATTACAGCCACCCTTTCCTTTGCAACCATGAGAATACAAAAACAGGTTTGACTTCTTCTCACAGTTCAAAAGCATTTTTTCTAATAAGAAGAGATAGCCATTTGTCCGGAATGTTATAGGGTCCTGCTTGAGCAGGGGGTTGGACTAGAAGACCTCCAAGGTCCCTTCCAATTGTTCTGTTCCTAGGATTTTAAAAAATAAAAACAAATCCAATTACCTTAGGACAGTATCTTCAGTGCAAATTTTAAGAGTAGGCCAGTGTGGTTTTGAACTTGGACTGAGACTATAAATCTATCTGACAATGGGAACTTACTGAGTGGCTATCCCCCAATTCAGCCTGTCTCATGGAGTTGGTCAGGGGATAAAAATGAGGAGAAATCCCTACATGCACTGCCTTGAGTTTTTGGAGGTATGGTGGAATATAGCTATAATAATAGGAAAAAGTAACACTATGGTGTAAAGGACCAGATATTTCATGCATACATTTTTAACATTTTTGATTATACACATAATATAAGAATACATTCAATATGACATGGAATATGGGCTGGCATGTACTTGCCTATTTATTTAGGCCAGGGTTGTCAAACTCAAGGCCCACGGGGTGCTTAGATGTGGCCCGTGGGGACACCCTGGAAACAGTAAAGGACCGGCCCGCAGTGCCTCTGCCAGTGAAAACGGAGCTTGGGGGGCTGTATGCAGCCCCCCTGGGCCCTGTTTTCAGCTGCGACAGCCTCCTGCAACCCTCTGACAGAGGGCTCTGTTTTTGCTGCCAGAGGGCTAGCAAAACAAACTAAAAACAAAACAAAATTAGAAATGTTTCCCCTTTTGCATTTGAGCATGCAAGAAGGGACATGAAAGGAGAAAGGGAAAGACAAAGAAAAAGATGGGAAAATGGGAAGAGAGCAAGGAAGAAAAAATAAGAAAAGGGGAAGGAAGGAAGGAAGGAAGGAAGGAAGGAAGGAAGGAAGGAAAGTAGGTCTCAGAGAAGTCCTGCCTTAGCATTTGGCCACCACAGGTGCCCCTGACACGAGTGATGTCAAGCTGGCCACGCCCACCCTGGCCACACACACACACCCCCAAGGTCAAACACAACCCTGACATGGCCATCAATGAAATAGTGTTTGACACTCCTGATTTAGGCTATTAAGATGTACACACACTTTTCCTGACTCTGGACAAGGGTTTCACACACCTTCTCAACGTTGCTCCAGAACTGCTTGACCTCTTTGGCAATGGAAGAAGCAATGCGGCGCAACTTGGCTTGCTCATCACGTTTGGCTCGTTCTTCTTTCTGCTTCTGTTCCTCATGGTGCCTGATCACCATCCGCACAACCTGTATGCCACAGAGGAGAAAGACCAAGTGACCAAAATCCATCACATGTGGCCATGTTTTCTACCTTATCCTGGACCATATTTTAGGAAACATTAGTTCATTGGAGGTNTGGTTATTTGGCTATAACTTTTCATAGAATACAGATAATTGAACAAACTTTGTTGCATTACATTCTTGATTAAATTATCTTTCCATTGATATATACTTTTATGGTACTACTGCAAAAAAGGGGTGTTATTAGCCATCAAACCTCAAAAATACACTTTTCCCAAAAGGTTTCCACAATTTTGGCCACTACTGTATACCCAGAAATGTTTATGTCTCTAATGACAAAAGTCACTTCTTCACCTTATTCCCCAGCCATACATGTCCCCTGGATAGATTCAGTTCTACCACAAAGATGGCAATACCACCACAAGGAGATCATATGAAAAATATATATATCAAATTTTCTTCCCAGTCAATTCAAAGCATACCATACTTGGGATGACCATAACACCACCTAGCAACCTTCTTTTGAATTAATCCCATGTATTGTCTCCTAAAGAAGCCAATAAGGTTTTGGGAACTATTTCAACACAGGCTCATTCCCCACCCTGATTTTTAAGGACCACTAAAGACTCTGGCACGCTAAGGAAATTCCCCATCCACTAAAAAAAGAGCTAGTGAGGAAGGCCTACCTAAGAAAACACATTTAGGCTGGATCAATTCAACAATTTATTTATTTATTAAAGTTACATGGCCATCAATCTCACAAGAAATGACCCTAGGTGGTATACAGCAAAACACACACATACACACAGTCCTCAACTTATGACCATTATTGAACTCAAAATTTCTGTTGCTCAGTGAGACAACTGAGTTTTGCAACAGTTGTGAAGTTAGAATCACTGCAGTTGTAAATTTAGTAACACAGTTGTTAAATGAATCTGGCTTACCAATTGACTTTTGTTGTCAGAAGGTCACAAAAGGTTATTAAATGATCCTGGGACACTGCAACCATTATAAATAAGAGTCAGTTGCCAAATGTCTGAATTTTGATTACGTGAACATGGGGATGCTGTAGCGGACATGTGAGAAATGGTCGTAAGTCACTTTTTCAGTGCCGCTGTACTTCGACAGTCACTAAACGAACTGTTGTAAAATTGAGGACTATCTGTATACCATAAATATTTCAAAACAAGTCATAGTAAAAAGTTTTTTAAAAGATACCACACTCAAGAGATCAGCAAGAGTCATCTCAAGATCTCACTGGACTCCTGAGACCTGCAGGCCTCCCAATTACACATGCCTGGTTGCTCCAAGAATTATTGTATTAAACTAAATGTCTTGACTTTTTCAATTTGGATTTGGTATGGAGAACCACTCTGATGACCCTGATGGATGGTGTTAACTGTTAACTGTTTATTTCATTTGTACGCCGCCCTTTTCCCCCGAGGGGGACTCAGGGCGGCTCACAGCTCAAAACAAGGGAAGG